AAACTATGATTGCATACTCTGTGATATATCCCGTAGAATACTGATAAGCAGGCAACTTTACGGCGGTGTTCAATGTTCTGCAGCTTTGCCTATACTGAATCCGAGTCACCTATAAGCCTTGAAAAGGTTGTAAACCACTAATGTGCCGTAACCAGGATCACGGCAACAAAATGGGATACTTTCGGTCCATAAAAATTTAACCATAGTTAAAAGGTAAAAAAAGGCTGTAACAAGAAAAGGTATATAAAAAAACGCTACAAAACACTTAAATACTAAACCAGACTTACCTCGAAATGGCCGAAGCACACAGAATTATTATGTAAGAGATAGAGAACTGGTAAAAGGATCAAAATTAGACGCAATTAAAAATTACAGCCGACCTGCTCGCTACAGCGATTGAGCAGGGAGTGACGACGGAACGAAACAAAATGAGGATGGTGAGGCAAAGAAATTAAAGAACGATTCAAAATTAGAAAACAAGTGGCTAGGAACCAGAGAAAAGGTAATACAAAGGTGGGATGACGATGTAAGAAGGTCACATCGTCACAGCCTCTCAATTAGCCGAAGTCATGGGACCCGAAATGTTAGTTTGTTTGGAAAAACAAATATACGCGATTTAGACCCCGAAAAAAATAGTTAAATTTCCATTGTTTAGCAATCGCAAAACCCAATAAGTCGATATAAATAATTAGTTTCATTTAATAAACCAATTTTCAGAACCGAAGAGGAGCAAATGGCCATTCTAAGACAAGAAGCCTTGTAAGAGAATATTTTCATGCATGTGGTTTTTTTTTGTTGCATATGTTTTGCGTGTTATAACAATTAATAATTAAATATTATTTTAATTTACTTTTATCGTACGTGTAAATGTGTAACACAAAGGACACTCGTTCAAGGTCAAAAGCAGGTACTTGACACTTAAGATTTTCGATTTGTACTGTGTATTACAAAAGTAAAGTACCAATTCACCGCTAATCAAACTCAAAAAGATGTTGATGACCTTGACTGCACCACCTAACAAAAGGGCGAGATGAAGGCTCTTTACCTGTATAAAGCGCAGGCCACACCGCGAACGAAGCTAAGCTAAGCTCACTTAGTTGACATAGTTGCATGCAACCAACTATGCCAGCTAAGCTCACTTAGCTCACGTAGTTGCATGCAACCAACTATGCCAGCTAAGCAGACTTAGCTCACGTAGTTGCTTGTAACCAATTGTACCATCTAAGCTCACTTAGCTCACGTAGTTGCATGCAACCAACTATGCCAGCTAAGCTCACTTAACTTAGCTCGCGTAGTTGCATGCAAACCTAAGCTAAGAGAGTACGTAGTAAGTAGTGACTGTGGATACGTGCGGGGGTGAAGGCGACATATTTTACATAACTTAGCGTTGGGTTAGTTAGCTCGGTTAAGCTTAGTTCGCGGTGTGAACCGAAGTAAATATGAATAGATGCCTCGGCTACGTGAGCTAAGCTAAGTTAGCGTAGCTTCGTTGGCGGTGTGTCCTGAAGGCGTGCAGGTGGACACAGACCTCGGCTAAGGACGCTAAAGGACATTTCCGTCAGAAGGACGTGCTGTAAGAGAGAATTTGCGCGAGTACACACTGAACTTCGTCCTGGTTTTCATTCAAGTCGGAATCGAACCGATCGGGTAGCCCATCCGAGTCTCGAAATCCGATGATTTTCCGAGCGAGAAGATGAACCTGATTCCTACTATATCTTTCTAATTTGCTAGTTAAATCAACTATTGTTCCGATTAGAAATGTCAAAAATCTCCGATCGGCCAGTTGGGAATCGCAATTATGCGCCTCGACTCGGAAAAGACGCAGTTTCCGATTGGGAAAGGCCATCAAAATCAATAAGCTAAGGACTCTTCGTCCAAGCGAGGTCATTTCGTGTGGAGTGTGAGTGCAATACCCTCTGGATCGGAGTGGCCTCTAGCGTAGCGACGGTGTGGTGAAAAGTAAATGTTTCGAAAGCCTTATTTAAATATCATGGCAAAATGCTTGCGCGCTTCAGCATACACGTAATGCCATCCAGTGGCGACGTGCGGTACTAAACTTTTTGAACACAATGACATCTTTATGCCGCTTACGATAAGAACGGTCCAAAGCCCAAAGTGTCAATCTTGATAAGCTCTTACTATATCAATCTTTTCAATCATAATAATCTGAGTACTAAAAAAACCGACCTCAGAAATTCGTGGAATTACATCTATTTGCCAAGTTTAATTGAAATCGGTTACCGGAAAGTACGCGAAACTGGATTCATCTCCCAGTTTGCCACCCTTAGAGGTGGAATATCTTCTTTAAATTTAAATGTGACCACTACCGAGGTGGTACCCTCTTTCCAAAAGAATCATCAAAATCGGTTGTTTTTCAACTTGCAGCCGTTAGCTAGCTCAAGTATTATAATAGTCCTGCCTTTGTGTTACAACATTTATAACAACATTTTAAGCATGTTTTCTACATCTAGCTAGTATCACAGTATTATCTAAGCATAGTTACTTAACAGTTTTGTAATTGTCGTAGTTAGTAATTTGCATGGTAATAATATTATTATTACAGTGAAGTATCTGACAAGTGTAGAAAATAAATAATTGTATCGTGTTTACACGGGGTCGAGTGGCGCATTCGGCAGACGACTTCGCCGTGCCTAAGAAGGCGCAGTGGATTCGGCTGTTTACACCGAGACGTCTGCCGCCTTCGCCGAAATCACAAAATATTTTAAAACAAGTTTTACGCATAGACATGCAACCAATCGTTCGACACGTTCAACAAACTGATCGTGTAGATAGGTATTCGGCCGTTGCATACCGAGGGCGAACGAATCGCCTGACTGTAGTTATGCCTAGTCGACAGTAGGGCTAGCGCGACATAAAGCGAGAGCGACATAAAACGCGAGATACTGCTATTCTCGCATAGAAATCCGTGCAAGTCGCGCCCATCGACCTAGTGTATATGCGTCATCAGTTATTTATTAGAATACTTATAGTTTATTATTTGCTTATTCTGTTTGTTAGTAGGTATCATTGAGTATATAACCAGAAATAGAGGCGAAATGTAATTTAATTTGTTTGAAAACTATTCTGCCATATCATTACTGTGACAACTGCGCTCCTATTGGCTAGCCCGAGTTCGAAACAATTGACGGGTGTCGTCAATGGGTGTCGTCAACTGTTTTACTTCCTATCGACCAGTTAACTTGAGCTTTGCTAATGGACGAAAATTGCAAAATTACATATTAAATATTTAAGTACCGATGAAATTTGATTCCATTTGTTTTGTAATTAGATGTTTTGCTGTTTTTCCCACACCACCGAATAGAACAGCACGGCATTGGTAGAGATATTATCTTTATTAGAATAAATACAGAATATTTTTTGGAATATACAGAGACGTACTATAACTTGGGACGTAGCTTGAGTAGCGTAGCGAGAGGTACTTTATAAATCCAAACGACGATTATATCATAATTATAACTTTATAGGTGTGTTCAATTTCAAAGCTTAGTCCAGAACTCCTAGATGTCTGTTTGACATCTACACTCTATTATTCTTACAATTCTAACTACAAAACCTAAGCTGCCTGTACTACACACAGGTTAGTAGTTGGCCTGTCTATATTTCAGTGCAAACGAGAGTTGATATTTATAAGAGCTGTATCGCTAATGTGTTACCAGGAATATATGACCCTTATGTAGTCTCCATTTCTGGTTATATACTCGATTGTAGGTATTGTCTTAATTTACAGTTAGTAGTGTTATGTGCAGTGGCGGATTTGCAATCTTGGTCGCCCTAGGCCCCCCAGGCTATGTAGTCAGTACCAGCCGCCCCTTTCTCAGCACTCATCATATACTGGTAGACTACATGAGTTTATTTTATTGCCAACTTTTATCGAAATCGATTCAGAAATTTAGTTAACTATAATACGCAGCAGACGCGGTAATGATAATATGTAGTGATGTAGTGATTATATGCCTGAGCCTTTAGAATATTTAGGTACTTTGAGTTATTTTGTTATCATTAATTAGTGAATTTTTTGTCACGATTGGCCGCCCTAGGCCCGGGTCTACTGGGCCTTAGGGCAAATCCGCCACTGGTTATGTGTAAGGACCGCCTTTAGCTGTGATAGTCTCCTCCAACTTTTTCCAATAACACTGTCTATACGAATTTTGGTCATAGCGTTCCCGCTACCTCTACGGCAGGGGTTCTTAACCTTTTCATTAAGAAGAAAGCCACGAGCGTAGTATCTATTTACTCACAACATAATATATACCAATTTTTATATCAATGCATTATGTTTGGTAGGCTTGCCAATGACCCCCGACGTTCACTACACGGACTCCTTAGGGGTCCATAGATCATAGGTGAAGAAACCCTGAATAAACTCCGGGGGTCCGTGGCGAGCTTACCTAACATAATGGAACAGCTGTCGTCTCACTAACTGTTCATATGTACTTAAGTAAACTTGAATTGCAAACAATATAAGCTAGTAAAAGCTAAACCTAGTTGACTGTACCACCATGGACCATGGGACCTGTAAAGGGCCCGAAACGTTGGTTTGTTTGAAAAACCAAATATACGCGATTTAAATCCCGAAAAAACTAGGTTTAGGAAATAAAACTATCATTTCCTAAACCTAGTTTTTTATCTTCTCGGATAGGCGCCGTGGACTCCGACATTTTGAGAGGGGTCCATCACTAGAAAAAGGTTTAAGGAACCCTGCTCTATGGTATCATCGTCCACCTCTTTAATGGCCTGTCTCGTCTTCTTATATATAAAGCGGGTACAAATTCATGACCTGTGACTACCTTCTGTCTGACTCTTCGAATAGTAGTAATGTAAACATGTAAACAAGTCATTTGTAACTTAGATTAAAAATAGACTTAAATTACATATATATATATATATATATATATAATACTTAATAACAAAAATTATAAAATAAAACAAATAATTTATTGCTGAAAATTTACAGTCCATTTTGTTAGTACAATTAATTACAGGCTATCTATTCTACTGTTCGTATAAAAGTAACAGAATAAAAATGAAAATGAATGAATGAGATGAATACATGGTACTAAGTTCACCGAGCTCCCAGGACGAAGTTCGGTGAACCTAACAAGCAGCTCGGAGTCCCACCTATCCCCATCATTTTAAGAACTCTGTTTATATGATAATGAACACAATCGAAAGGCGTTTTAACTATGAAAGATCAGAAGTCAGAAGTAGACAGACGTATTAGTTATATTCAGGGATTTTTTAGTTTCTCTTGCAGAATGCACGAAAATTCTATATCGGTTTATTGTGTTTTGCGGTTTTTTAATTATTTGTTTTGTTACAAAAAATTTCAGCTGTGGTACAGGAGAAAAACCAGTGAAATTAACGTTATATTATTTGTCGGCAGCCGTGAACGCTCGTGGTCCCTTGAAGAATGTTCAATCTGCTTCGAAGTGATGCTGAAGGATCAGCCGTTGATGCAGCTGCCCTGCGCTCACAATTTCCACGTCGCCTGCATTGGGCCTTGGCTACAGGAGCAGCAGACTTGCCCCAACTGCCGCAAAAGCGCTGAATGATGACATGTATAGGTAAGATATCAAACGTCTTTTTTAAATAATAATAAAATATGACGAATTATAATAATAATAACTCACACTCTCAACATAGCCCTGCGCTAGGGAAACCCTGTGTCGCGGGTGCCATGGACACACATAGACAACCACAAATTAGACTCAGCGTGGCAATAACCGTTCGGTTACGGAGGCAGTTAATTTTGACAATTTCTGTTGCCTTCTCTGAGGTCCCGGGTTCGATTCTCGGGCGGAGAGAAATATTTCTATGGCCAACATTTATTTCTCTCCTGAATTTGGGTGTGTACTTTGTGACTGTCTATTTGTATGTGGCCTGGTGCGGGGCTATGAGTGTGCGTTATAGAGTAAACCTTTTTCATTAAGTTACACAACATCGTCATCATCGTTTCAGCCGAAAGAGGTCCACCGCTGGACACAGGCCTCCCCCAAAGAATTTCAAATAAATCATACAAATTTTCTCTTGCAGTAATCGAATCTTGCTCATCTCAATCAAGACTATAAAGCCAGCTGGTACTGAGCTGACATACACCAACATTTAAAACATGGACAGTAATCTACATTGAACGTTCACGCTTTGGACAACTATTAACGGGTTCAGTGTTTCATTGCGCCTACAAAATTAAACGTTCACGCATTGGACACTAAAAGTAGCTGAACCTTAACACGTAGGTAAATAATTGTCTTGATAAGTTGAGCACCACAACATGAACTGGATGTTTGATTGGACATACAAGTAAAATTAGGTAAATATTCATGGGCATTGGACACGCGAAATGCGTTGGACAGTGATACGAATTGGCAACTAAAACAGATTGAACGTTCACGCATTGGACGTGCAAAATGATGTATAAACGTTTATGTATTGGACAAAATGGAATGATATTTATTAGTGCCCGACGTGCTTTCTGTTTATTGCGTATGTACACTCCTGGACACAATTCGAGTCACCTTACATTAAATGCCAAGCTTAAAACATATTTGATCAAAAACGATACTCTGCGAAACGATATGCTGCAGTAGCGCCACTGCTAATTTTCGTACACTATCTAGTGGCGCTAGTTTCATACACTATTTAGTGCTACTAAAATGTGTTACGTTCTTGTTGAAGATTTGAATTTGTAAGACTGGGGAGAACTTTTTCTTCTTTGATGGTAACTTTTTTGGTTTGTTTGTGTTTGATTGCTAATTTTTATTTGTATTCTAGTCCCTTTAACAATAAACATGCAAAGTGATTCGAATTATGTGACCGGGAGTATAAATTGTAAAAAAGAAAAATAATATCTTTTCTTTTAATTAAATAGCAACGAACTTACTTCTCTCTTTAATCGAATAATAGGTTTAATAATTAAGAAACTAGTAACTAGCATACCGATTTGAAGAATTTTTTTTTAATAAATTAGTATAATTGAATTTTTATGTAAATATGGTAGGGTGCTTATTGTGTCTGTATTAGTAATGGATTTCCTAATTATAATACTTTTTAGATGTAATAGTAAATTTACTAAATATTTTGTAAATTATTCTACAAAATGCACAAAACTATATTTACATTACAAGATGCTCGATGAAAATGCATCATCGGCCATCTTGTTTTGCAAAAATCTATCTTGTTACATTAACATAAGGTGCCGTTGATTTTATTTATTAGAGTAGTTTTTGAATTTATGAAGTTAAAAAAATGTATTTGAAAAATTGGGATTAAATAATTCACGAAGTATACTATATTAAAAAAAGTAGCGTAGAATACCGCACCGCACATAGACTGGATAGTAAATAAATTAAAGGTAAAGTTTTAATAAAATTAAAAAAAAATGTTTTAGGAATTTATTATGGACCATTATCAAATGAAAATATTAAAACAAATTTATTGTATTAAAAAAATTGTTATAGTTACACAAAAATGACGATTTATTCTCTGTTTGAAAGTACGTGATAAGTGATAGATAGGGCTTTTGACATAATTCTCACACACCGAGCGCCGAGCGGCACGGTTTTTGACAAGTTTTAATTTACCCGAAACGTAACAAAAAAATTGCCTTGTTTTAATTTCCACACGAAATTAATAGCCGATGTATAACAAAAGTTTGTATGATATGGAACGTTATTAAAGAGCGAATATTTTAAAACAAATTAATTCTATTTAAAAAAGTTATAATTACAAATATGACGATATATTTTTTGTTTGTACGTGCTTTTGACATAATTTGACTTAAGTGTTTCCACACACCGAGCGCTGTGCGGCACGGTTTGTACGGCAAGTTTTAATTTACCCGAAAATAATTGACGTATTTCTTTTTAGATTTCCATATAAAATTAACAGTCGTTGTTTGTATGAGACGGTGAAAAATGTTTGTAATATTTTTTTAATGTCGTGCAAAAGAGGTTTGTTTTCTTGAAGAAATGGCGTGTTCGCAGATATCACACTGGTTGTTATGATATACACATTTAACAAAGTTGACAATGTTATCAATTTTAACCGGAAACGTCGCTTGGAGTGTGTAGCTCGCTAGGTATAGAATATATATGATAACATTTAACTTTGAAAATCTAGTGTAGGTTTATAAATCGAAAATGATCTTTGGATTATACTTGACCGCATAGATTATGTGACAAAAATTATTAGACGCTGTTTAGTAGTGACCACCATAGCCATTAACGCAGAAATGTTATATCAACGGTATAAGGGCGGAGAAGACGTTTCGCATGGGACATAAAGCTTTTTCTATTTTGGATTGCTTGTAAAACAGGCAATACCAATCTTGGTGGTGGAAGGTGGAAATATTCTTGTGTGGAGCTTGGTAGACTATTCTTTATTTGGCCTTAACTTTAAAAATACAAATTCGACAATTTTGTAGAAGTTTGTGATGTTGTATTTTTGTTTTATTTTAACGTGTAGGATTACGCTTTACTTCCTTTTTATTGTGATTTGGTAGTATTAGTAATTGTTATTTAAAATAAGGGTTAATGCTTATTAGTCAGCATCACGCTAAAATGGAAAAAATGAGTTTTTGTTTGTGTCGAGGACCATACGACGCGCTGTCAGAGCTACCAGATTATAGTGTTATAATCTGATAGGTCCAAGGAAAAACCCAATAAGTGTATGAGTTTTCGTAAAATGAGTTCTATAATTTATTATTTCTTTCACTTTTCTGTTGTGGGAGCAAATACCCGTTACGCATCTTAGATACAAGGTGTAACTAATGATTTTGGTTCTAATGCGCAGCTGTTTTCAACCATCATTAAAAAAAAAATAGAAAAAATTATAAAACGTTATAAATTTCTTTTTACCAATATTGTTAGGGACACCGGCTGACACAGTGTCTCTCAGGTAACGTAATTATATTTTTATTGGGTTTTGTCTCTAGACCCTTCGAAATCAAGTTTTGCTACGGCGCCGTGAGTCAACTTACATTACAAATTTATAAAAGGCGCAGACGTATTATAATTTTTATAAATTCAATACTGCCCACCAGAAATTTTAGTGCGTTGTAGGAATTTATATGCAAAGCTGATCTGTAAGTGTTGACCCTAACAATGCAGTGTTATTTTTGTAAATCACTTTTAAAATTGTCTAGTCCCGAGTTCATATTAGCCAAACTATAGACTAATTTTTAATTAAAACGATGAACGCTTAATAAAATAAATGCTCAAATAACAATGTATTTTTCTTTGTATCAAAACCTTTTACCGTGTCACCAATTTCTTTGTCAGAAAAGAGAACGCGAGGGGATTCAAAGGGACGGAGGGGGCCCCCCGACTTGTTCGTCCCATCACTATGTATCATAAAAAAAATCGGTTTTTAAAATTGGCAGTATAGTTTGTTGGTATAAATAAATAAAGTTATAAAATTAATAAATTGAATATTACTTATTACGATACATAATAAAATTAATAACGGTATAAAATAAAAATATAATTTCCGTTAATAAATAATAATTTATTAACGGAAATGTATTATTATTAATGAAGTCAATAATTAAGAATTAAATTGAATTAAGATTACAATTAATAGTATAATTGTAATGAATTAATTTATATAATGCATCAAGTATAAATAATTCGGCATGGCGTATAATAAAAACAATGATTTATTTAAAAACATTTATTTCCAACAACGATCTTCAGGCACGAAGGTATATTTCCCTATTTAATTAGCAAAAAAATAAAATCGTAACTTCATTCAGTGTTATTAAGGTATAAACTAAAACAAAATATTATACTTGGCTCTAATAGTATAAGAATAAACATTTTTTTCTTATAAGTTGTAAAAGTTTTTCTTGAATATTATATTTCCACTACTGTGTTCTTGAATGTGGTGTGTCCATGCTTCTATGTTTTCGAAAACCTGCAATAAAAACAACACGAACTCAATTAACCTTTTATTTCATACCCTAGCTGGTGCCCGCAACTCCTGTCGCTCACGCGAGGCACTAGCCTCTTGAGAACCAGATAAATAATAAACGCACGCAATGAACTTAGCCCCGCACTAGGGAAACCCTGTGTCGCGGGTGCCATGGACACGCATAGACAACCACAAATTACATCCAAACTCACGAGAGAAATAAATGTGCGCCATAGAACCCTGTACACTGGCTGGTCTGGGGTCAGAACCTGAACTTATAAGGTTCCTGTTGCGCGCACTGATAGATAAGTAGGGAGGGTCACTATAATCAAAAGTTATTTAGAAAAGGTATGGGAGCTGTACGTATCAAATTCTCGATAACTATTCTATTACTTACATTGTCACAATACTGGCAGGGGAGCAACTTCGGCGCATGCGCAGCGATATGATCTTTAAACTGCTCGACGTCCAAGAAACCCATGCCGCATGTGTCGCATATCCACGCGAGTGAACCGTTCTCTTCCTCTTCTTTAGCTTCCGTTTCGGATTTGAGCGAATCTTCGATTTCGAGAACGTTCGTGATCGTTTCCATTTTAGGTTTTTTCGGTTCACGTGGTTCATAGTAGGGGCAGACTGGAAGAAATATTTTCATCGATTTTCTTGTATAACCTATATTTATCAATTATTTTTATAACAATAAAGGAGATATAAAAGGAGAGAATAAAAAATTAAAAACAAAAATTACAATTTCTTAAGTTTTTGCGATTGTTGTACAGTCAAGAGCACATCAAGCTTGACACTTTGTACTTTGGACCGTTCTTATCGTAAGCGGCATAGAGTTTGATTTAAGTCTTAAGTGTAAAGCTTGACGTGCTGTTGACCCTGTACATAGGAAACATACATAAGACAAGTACGGTATCCCCTAGTTTACCACCCTTGGAGATGGAATATTTTCTACAAATTTAAAAGGGACCAATTCTGAGGTATCCTCTTTCCAACAAACAAAAGAATCATCGAAATCGGTTCAAAAATAGATACAAAAAAAGACAGTCGAATTAAAAACCTCCACCTTTTTTAAAGTCGGTTAAAAAGGCGTTACTCACGTCCATGTCCCACGTGAGTCTTATAAAACGTGACAAGCACACGCTCGAGGGTCTCCGTGACGATCATATGCGCGGGACACGCCTTCCCAGTCTTGTAGATTTGACGCTCGGGCGCAGGTCGCTTACCTTTACCCTGCATATAAAGTAGTCGGTGAAAAACAGGCACATGAGACCACAAAGTGCATGAGACTAATCAACTAATGTCTCAGGGTGACGACTCATGTGGCAATAGGGTTGCCAGATACTGACTTATCATTTCCGGGACATTTCTACTATGCGCAATAAATATATGAAAATGGACGTTGCAATACGTCCGAAACGTCGAGGTAATTAAAATATGTTTTATACGCGATAAGTCCCGAATTAAAAATCAAATAATACTTACAAAAGTTATGAAAAACAGTTACGTAGATAGACCAAAGGATTTTTGGTTACGAAAGAAGATTTTTCCTTCACTGTTTCGTAACTAGTTATTAAAAACTCCAGTTACGAAAAAGACTTACTTTTTTCTCTTTTTATATCTAGCTACGAAAGTGGATGCTTCGTTTCTTCTTTTTTACGACATTCGCAATGAATATTTCGACATTCCTTCGCACGACTACAACGCTTCGTCTGGGGGACTTCTTTGAAATGAAAATGACTCTAGTAAGTTTGTAACAACTACTGTCTGGAATCCGGGACAGTAAAGTTAATTACTGGACACGGGACAAGATGAAAAATTCCGGGACAGTCTTGGATTTCCCGGCCATCTGGCAAGCCTAAGTGGCAGTGCCACTCAGATCTAACTGCTAAATAAGATATAAAAAAAAACACTTAGGGAGTTGTAGATTTAGTAGAAACATTTCGATTACGTTACTTACTTATGAGAAGGAGGGCAATATAGTTCGGATAGCTGCCATATTATAATGGATGGTTTTTTTATATAGGTTGTTTTTTAAGGACGAAAAGAAATTATAATTTACTTATTATAATGTATTTTATTTGTTTCTGTAAGGATTAGCAATGGTCGACATAAGGTGTTCTAAATGAGTAATAAATGTCTACATATAAATACAAGGAGTGACATAGTGATTAAAACCACTAAATATTAATTAATTACTTTTTCTATTTCTGGAGTTCTGGAAATAGTTTTACTGGGTCGCAGGGCAAAACTAGTCACCTCAGTCAGTATACTCAGTCCTAATTACAGCTTCATTTTTCTTGAGCACACTTACTTCTTTTTTAGGATTTAGGTCTAAATCATGCGTCGTCAATACTTAATTTGATAAAAAAAAAAGAAAATGTAACTTTTGCTTTTCTCTATTCTTACTTCCGTGTGGTTACAATATAAGTAAGTACTTATTTATTAAATTTGTTAATATTTATTAAATGTATTTATTTTATTTATTTGTATTAGTGCAATTGTAATATGGGTATAAAATTCGTATTTAGTAGCATTTGATGCGCCCACAATTAATTATTATCTGTAAGTTTATGCTGTAAAACAGGAGATTGCTATTTAGCAGTAAGGTCGCCTGTTGTACCAGTCTATAGTTTTTTGTTCTGTATTTTAATTGCCTCTGTGGCTGTACGGTTACCATGCTGAACTATCACGCAGAGGTCCCGGGTTCGGTTCCCGGGCCGGGACAAATATTTGTATGGCCTACATTTGAATCTCTCGTGAGTTTGGGTGTATTTTATGGTTATCTATGTATGTGTCCATGGCATCCGCGATAGGTGCAGTGTTTACCCAGTGCTGGGCTTAAAAAAAGGATTTGTTCTTGTGTGCAATAAATAATATTCCATTGCATTTCGCAGCAATAATGTACCTTTCCAGGGAACGAAATACAATTTTCCACATACGAGCCCTGGCAACATTGAACTTTACTAACGGCTCCTCATGGCTTTTCAGCTGTGGAATATGTCACGAAACATGAAGTGATAACATAACGGTGTTGCATGTAAAAGAAATAGCTATAACTTAAAAATACCTGATAGACATAAACTCCAGATTGACTGCACATATAATTAGACCTGATACCATCGATGACTTGTCGACTCGCCGATATCTTCCTAAATCTGTACTTCGTCTCTTCTTGTATCGCATTTTTGAATAGCAAAAATTCTGCAATAGAAAATTTGCCCCTACATTTTGGCCACAAACGCCCCTACCTGATAGACATATACGCCGCTCTGGCTGCACATGTAGTGAGACCGTATCCCGTCTATAGTTTGCTTCGAAGCTGTAGTTTTTCTATACCGATATTTACTTTTCTCTTGAATCGCGTTTTTGTATATTATAAAGTCTGAAACAAGGGTGCAATTTATTTAGCTGGTAATAATTTGTTTTCAATGTAAAAGGCGTCGCAAAAAAAGGGAACGATATATGTTGCAGCTAAATAAAATTGCACTCTGTATTTCAAACTTCTCAAAAGGGTGGGATTTATTTTCTCTTTTTTCACGCTGCCTGAATAAAGGAGTAAAACTATGAGAAAGTAAAAATATTATAACAAAAGATGTAAAAGTTTTTCTATCAAAGCCTGAGTTTTTGCTCCGTCAATGAAGAAGCCAATCGCTAAGAGGCGAGAGGGCTTTTGGAGTACACGAAAGGAGCTTCCCGACACGATGTACAGGAAAGGAATGCCTTTGTCTTACGTCTGGCGTACCTTGACCAATAATTCACTGGTCCCCACTATGGATACAGCTGGTAGGGACTAGTGGAACAGACCCAATTAGCGAGCACCTTATATTTGTAAATCGAGTTTTGTTCAAATGTAGATGACACTATTATGAAATGTTTATTTCTTGCTTACATATTTTGCATTTCAATTGGATCGATTCACTTGGAAATCGCATTGAAACGAATAAAAAAATCGTTAGTAACCCTTAAATCGATTTTCATAAAAATAGCAAGTGGGTGTCCACCACGGACTTGTATATTAACTGGATCGCGCACTATATTAATAAAACGAGCAGAGTGAGAGGCTTCAAAGTAGTATTGCGTCTCTTTCATTCATGTTTCATCCAGCCATATTGTTTTTAACTTTTTATTTTTACAGAAAATGTGGCCGCTTATGGATGACCAGAACTACTAATATTATTTCATAATATAAATTAGTATACTTATTTGATATGACACTTCATAATAGAAGGTGTCATTGTTGATATATATTTATTGTATTATTACAGTAAAAGCATATTACCTTTAAGCTAATTTTATTTAACCAAAATTTGAAAAAGTTTGGTAGACACTACCTAAGATGATTTTATTTAGCGTTGGCAACTTGTTAGACAAGGACAGACAACTACTTCAAACTATCTCGCGTGGCCCGGTTTTTTACTTTTACTTAAAATAAATCTTAACATAACCGAATAAGGTGTAAATTTGTAATATTAGTATATCGAAGTGCGTGATCCAGTTTATGAAATATATAAATCCGTGGTGTCCACTAGATTGCAAAGTGGAGTTGCCTCTTTTCGTCTAAAAAAGACTTTCTATAGAAGACCGATGACCGATGCAATATGGAGGAGGCATGCCCTAACCTTAAAACGGGCATGTCCATAAGGTTCAAATGGCGCATTTTAAAGCTCATCTAGATTTTGAATAAATTGCTCGATTTTCATTTAAAGCAGTGTATTTGTATATACTTAATAATAAAAACTACTTTTGCTAACCTTTAACTATCTAATAATCGATCAAACTTATAGAATTACATGGTACCTATATTAGAAAAAAATTATCCAGTTGCGCTTCAGAAGTGAAGCTCTTCCGCCTAGTAATTGTACTTTCCGAAAAATTTCCTTAAAAATTAGTTATATTGCAACTTACACATCTGGTAACACTGAGCACATTAGATTTAAAACTGCAATCTGTCACCTTTCGTCGCTATCAATACTGAATCGGAAATGCAACAGAATTACAAATAGTTTTTTTTTTTCATTCAAAATAAATATTTGATGGCAATAATGGTAATTATAAATTCCGTATCAATTTACGCGTATGGTTTCCGTCCACGATTTTGTGCTGAAATAGGTTAAAACCTGGGCGGGTTGATTAGGCTTTAACCCACTGCCTATCTTTGCTTCCTTAGCTCAACTACAAACTATTCACATTTTGCAATTTACCATCCATATTATGGAATTCGAGCTGTTCAACTTGCTCGTGCACTTTGTGCCGGTGCAGTAGGTGAGCGCTAAAGTGCTGTCCGTATGAAACTCGTTCTTCGCAAAGGGGGCAGATGAAGGCTTTGCGTTTTTCCACCTGGGGTATGGAAAGAAACAATCAGACGTTAAAGCATTTCATTTAAACCATTAAACTATTTATTTACCACAACAATCCAGAAAGACAGAAATTATTTTTAATAACTTTTGTTTAAAAAAACTGTCCTCAAAAGTTCGTGGAATTCATTGACTTACAATTATATGGACGTCGGGTCCGCGCTAAAAAGTGTCCGAACTTATAGGGCGTTAAAATCGTATACAGAGCGTCATTCACGCTTTAGTCTTCGTTTGTTCGACTGACAGCGAAGCAAGCAAAATTAGACAGTACTGCGATGACATTACAATTTAAATCTAACGTTTTAGCTTTTTCATATTCCTTTACATGTCACTACGTTTAAATAGGTTGACTTGGGACATTTTTTTCGTGGTTTTTGTATTAGACCCGTCGTCCATTTATTTCTAAGTCAATGGTGGAATTACATCTATTTGCCAAGTTGTATTGAAATCGGTTACCGGAAAGCGCGCGAAACCGGATTCATACCGTTAGAGGTGGAATATTTTCTTAAAAATTAAATAATAATAACGCATACACTCAACATAGCCCAGCACGAGAGAAACTGTGCCGCGGGTGCCATGGACACACATACAAAACCACAAATTACGCCCCAAATTCACGAGAGAAATAAATGTGGGCCATACAAATATTTCTCCCAGCCCGGATTCGAACCTGGGACCTCTGCGTAGCACTCCGGCATGGTAATTGTTACGGACGGCCGTACGCGCCTGGCCGGTCAGAGCCAGAGTCCAGAACAGAATGATTAATTCGAGAGCTCTGATTGGCCGAGCGGCGTAGCGACCCATTGATAGGACCGGCACGATGTGGGAGACATCGTGCCGGTATAAATATAAGCGATTATTGTTACTTTATTCATTCACTTTTCATCACTCTTCTAAGAAACACTTGTTTTGTAAGTTTACATGAATATATACAGTCCACTTTAAAAATAAGAAGTTTTTATTATCCAAGGAAGATTAAAGCAGAGGATCGAAGAGCGTCGGTCCTGAACAGTAATCGTTTGGCCACGGAGGCAGTATTATATTACATAGTTATATAATTGGGACCAATAATGAGGTACCCTCTTTCCAACAAAAAAAAGTATCCTGAAAATCGGTCCACAAATGAGAGTTATCATTACATACAAAAAAAGCAGTCGAATTAAAAACCTCCTTCTTTTTTATTAAGTCGGTTAACAACAGTGCGTGGAAGGAACAGGGCTGTGTGCCAGGCGGTGCTCATTTTCAGCCTGACCTTATTCCTTTGGTCTTTATTCAGTATTTGTTTTCCACAGAAATCGCTTTTGCGCAGTTGATATAGCGCCCACTATACAGCTAACCCACGGTTATGGGACACGGTGGAAAAGCACTTCAAATATTGTAGATAGGTTGTTTTGTTTCATGGACACATTATTTTATTTTTAAAAGTAAGTAATACTGCATTCAAAGACTTTTCAAAAGTTGCCGTTGCTGGAAAACGAACTTACCGCGACCATATGTGAAAAAACATCCTTACAAGATGGATCACATTATGTATGTAACATTTTTTAGTAGCAGTAGAGGGCCTTGTAAAAATGTAACCTCAAAAGGGTAACAAATTCGAATATTTTTTTCCGAAATAACGTATGTTCGAATTTTCATTACACCGAATAACGAAACCGTTGTTCTTTAAGGATATGTTGGATGTTTATCGCCAAAACACGATTAGGTTCGGTTAGGTTAGGTTAAGTTGGGATCTCTCTCTGCCGATCGTGGTTCGCGCCATGGTCGACAGCGAGAGGTCCTGGAAAGCGGTCCTCACTTTCTGTGAAACCGTCCTTTTGCAGAAAGAGGCGGCGGAGAGAGACAGAGAGGCTGCGGCTGCGGAGAAGGAGGCGCGACTTTGGTCACCACCTTCCCCCGTAGGAGCCACGGCGATGAACGTGGGGATACACGTTCGTCGTCTGCGTGTGGCTCGAGACGGCGTCGCGTGCACCCGCGCGCGCCTCTCAGTAGGCTATGAAGGAAGGAATAGCTCCTCTCCTTCCTTCTTAGCGAGGTGAGCCCGGAAACGGGTAGGCACCGCTGGGTTTTGGAAGAATGCTTCGGCGCCTCCAAGACCCAGCACACGGTGCAGAGACGGGTGCCGCGGGGTTTTAGTGAGTAGGAGTCTGTATCCCCAGACGGAAGGTATCCATGATAGATTTCCCCGCGTTAAAAAAAAAAGGTTAGGTTAAGTTAGGTTTAAAAGAAAAATATTAATAAAGAAAATTGTGTAGTACTTACAATAGGCTACTCGCAAGTACGTATTCTACGCCATCGAGTAAATAACCAGAAATAGAGACGAAATAGGGCCATCCATCCCTGGCAACTCATCAGGCAAATGGGCCTTATATCACTTTTAAACATCAACTCTCGTTTGCGCTGAAATTACAAATTAGAAAGCTGAAATAGTACAGCGCCAACAACTGACCTGTGTGTACGTCTCCATATATTCCAAAAATATTCTGTATTTATTGTAATAAAGTTAATATCTCTAACAATGGGGGCTGTTCTATTCGATGGTGTGGGAAAAACAGCAAAACATCTAATTACAAAACAATCGGAATCACATTTCATCGGTAATTCATCATTAAATATGTAATTTTGCAATTTTCGTCCATTAGCAAAACTGGTCATTTTGAAGTAAAAAATTGATGACACCCGTCAATTGTTTCGAATTCTGGCTGGCCAATCGGAACGCAGTTGTCACCGTAATGATGTGGCAGAATAGTTTTCAAACAAATTCAATGATATTTCTGGTTATATACTCGATGTTCTTCGCAGACAAAGTCGCGGACACTAGCTAGTAATAAATAAAGAATAGTGAGACCTCACCTCAATGCCGTGGGCCTTCCACAGGTGCTTGTTCAGGATTTGCTTCTGGCTAAAGTCTCTATTGCACAGGTGACACTTCTTGCGCTCGCGGTGAACACATTTTGGTGTCTGGTCGTTGTACAGTTTTACTGCTTATAACAAGGACACAATCACGAAAGTCAATTGTACGTAAAAAAAAGCAGTGTTAATATAGTAGGGAAGACGTTCACTCCAGTGGGGGTTTTGCCTAAAGAGACTAGTATAAGATAAAGATGTATCAAAAGACGATATGGCTCCAGTTTCCACTCAGGTTAAAAGTGTTTTCCATAGCATTTAAGTTTATTTGAAAAGAGCAATCCTAACCACCCGTTCACACGGCATTGTACTGCACGTTTTGTCATAAAAACAATAACCCAGTTTTAGATTATTGAAATTGTTTAATGATATTTTAGCTATGCGTCGTTAGGGTAAGTTCCAATAAGTCGAACATCGTTAACTAATTATAACTGTTTTAAAAGAGAAGATTTTTTTTATTTATTTATTTATTTATTCATTTATTTCAAGCAACTAAGGCCCATATAACAAATACTTTACAGACTAACATACATATTATTATTATTGATACATACCTTACAGACTAACATACATATAAAATAATATAAACTTATTAACTATTTACACGAATTACTATTCGGCGACGTGCGACGCAAACAAGTGTCATGTATCGTTCCTCTGAACCGCCGGAACATGACACCCTTCGGCCAAAACTCTACCTGCATGAAGGTCGACAGATGGACCGTTGGGACCCTCACCACAAACGAATTAAAGTTAACGTTGTGGCGAGACTCCAAACGTTCGACCCTCAGGGTGAATTGGGCTTTCAACCGGATATACTCCACTATATCCTCAGACTTCGTGGAGTAATGCAGTCGAGACAGGTACAACTGCGTTGTCGGTATGGCCGAAATTTTGCTATTTAAAACGGATATTTCACCATTTGTCACCTAGCCGTGTTTTAGTGGACGGCAGATAAAGAACCGTTCACACGGTGTTTGTTCTGCAAAAAAACGTACAGTGCAATGCTGTGTGAACGGGGGGTTAGAGTTTCTTGCTCGTACTTCTCAGAGTAGTCAGCACAGTGAACTAGCAGTAGCTTAAAAATGGCGTTCGCAATTGTAAGTTTACTTTGAATATGGAATAAAAGGTTTGTTACTTTGAGTTTGAATCTTTCGAATAATGTCAAATAAGTAGGTAATACTCGACCAAACAATGTCATATGATGTTTCGTTTGCATAATGTCATTGACTTACAATTATATGGACGTCGGGTCCGCGCTAAAAAGTGTCCAAACTTATAGGGCGTTAAAATCGTATACAGAGCGTCATTCACGCTTAGTCTTCGTTTGTTCGACTGACAGCGAAGCAAGCAAAATTAGACAGTACTGCGATGACATTACAATTTAAATTCAACGTTTTAGCTTTTTCGTATTCCTTTACATGTCACTACGTTTAAATAGGTTGACTTGGGACATTTTTTGCGTGGTTTTTGTATTAGACCCGTCGTCCATTTATTTGTAAGTCAATGCATAATGTAGTGTCTTTTAAGTAATACGGTCAAGTATTACTTATTTGACAATAATTGATATATTATGTAAGAAACACATTGACTTACAATTATATGGACGTCGGGTCCGCGCTAAAAAGTGTCCGCACTTGTAAGGCGCTAAAATCGTATACAGAGCGCGACACTCCGCTTTAGTCTTCATTTGTTCTACTGACAGCGCGATACTGCGATGACATTACAATTTAAATTTCGAATAGGTTGACTTGGGACATTTTTTCGTGGTTTTTGTATTAGACCCGTCGTCCATTTATTTGTAAGTCAATGAAGAAACATCATCTTTTGCCACTAGAGGTGCGACGTCAGATAGCAGACCTAGTATTTTTGCGAAAAATTGCTTCTGGTGCCGTGGACTCCCCGGCACTAGTGTCCAAGATTTCTCTTAGAGCCTCTACAAAGCCTCTTAGGTTTAATGCACTTCACTCCGTACCTCTGGCCTCTTCGAATTTTCGGCGGAATGCATATATCTCTTCCGTACGAATAATAGCTTCAATGATATTGACCTTTTCAACATTACTGTTGCATCGGTGAAGCGTCTTATTAATAGTTTGTTTTTTGGCGAGTAGGTATTTACTAAGTGGTGCGAAAATGACATTACCAATATAGTTACTAGTTATATAGTTATTTTTTATTGCTCATTAACGACATTGTCTCTTGATTTGGTCGAGTATTAATAATAATAATAACGTACACACTCAACATAGCCCCGCACTAGGGAAAACCCTGTGTCGCGGGTGCCATGGACACACACATAGACAACCACAAATTACACCCAAAATCAAGAAGAGAAATAAATGTAGGCCATACAAATATTTTTCCCGGCCCGGGAATCGATCCCAGGACCTCTGCGTGGATGTCTGGCATGGTAACCGTTCGGCCACCGAGGCAGTTATTATTACTTATTTCACAGGAACTGTTTCGGACGGATGAGACACCCAGCAGTCGCTCAGTAATGCCGCGCCGCGCGGACGTCGTATTTGACGCTGTATCGACATTGGCAAGACGATGACGCTCGAAAGACGCTAGTGTGGGGGATCACTTAAGGCGATATACCTACGACTTGAATTGTTATGATAAGTGTAAATGAGTTATAGGCTTACATCCGTGCTTCATCCTGAGATGCGTAAAGCACGCCTTTCGGCTGGAGTACACGTTGTCGCAGAAGTGGCAAGGGTACTCTCTGCCTTCCGCGTCTGACTTAACACCGTGACATCTGTTCGGTTTAAAAAAGCACCTTCCTTAATAACAACATTTCGATCCGCAGGTTGAGTTTAGCTGGTCTAATGGCCACCATATAAGAGACCACTTGTCGCGAAGATTGATCGAAACAACGTATCTATAATGTAGGTATGTTTATGTCGTTTACGATTAACTTGAACATCAAGAAAAGAATATCTGATGGGGTCTTTACGTATAATTTTCATATATAATTTATGCAAGCATTGATTGCAATGTTGCAAATTGAAAGTCACTAAATAAATGTAGGTAGGTACTACTTTTAATGAAATTAAATTAAGCGCACAAACAAACACACACACACCTACATACACAGACACACACGAACTCATGCACGCACAACAGCATGCATGTTCTATGTACTGTAAAATTACAATACATTGAACATGCCTTCAATAAATACATTATTATTATTATAGGAAATTGTACTATTTTTCCGGATTTAAATCGCGTATATATGTTTTTTCAAACAAACCAACGCTTCGGGCCCTTTACAGGTCCCATGGTCACGGTTGATCGTCAACCGGAAAAATAGTTTCATTTCCTACACATATGAATTGATACTTACCTATTCAGATGATCAGCAAGATCAGCCAGCGGCACGGCACACAGAGGACACTCGCGCAATGCGCGTCCAGTGCGTGGTTCTAAAGCGTGCACCGCACGAATGTGCGCGTGCAGCTCCGATACAGTGGCTAGCTGCAGATCACAGTAGATGCATGTTGTTTCGTCGAGTGCTTGAATTGCATGTTCTTCATCTTCGTCTATTTCATGTAGAAGAAAATACCTAGTTACTACTTACTGGATGAACTGGGTAAAGTGCAAGATATTTAAGACACAGAATCGCACAAATCTTCCTTTGGGAGAGCGCACTCCGTAAAATTTTAGTAGTAGTAGAGCTTCCTGTGAAAGATTTCTTTCAGGGAAGTACGGCCACCTTATCTATTTCTGCCGAAAAACTGAGCATTTCCTACTGCGTTCCAGTTGCGAAGGGTGAAATTATAGGCATATGGGACTTGTCAACCCATGTCTCTAGGTGACAGATGTAGTGGCAATGCTCAAAAGATATGAGTTTTACGATTTAAAGCTCTAAGTGGCACTGCAACTGTTATGAACAGGCGTTACCATTAGGCGCACGACTTGTTCGTCCCGTCACCGCGACTTGATATTGTAAAAAAAAATATAATCCAATATTTATGTTTGTTTTATGGGTTAGTACCTATCAAGTGACGGGGCGAACATCATGGCGCGTTTACACTAGTTCGATAGGCGGAGCACATTCCGGCATTATTCTTTTGTTAGAACAAATATACATACTTCAGTAGAGAATATGTTCTATATTTAATTGCATTTTATGAAGTGCACCCGGCGCAGATCGGCGCAGCTCGACGTCGCCCTCCGTCACCACTGCCGCTTGCTGCATCTTTTTCTTGCCGCACAACGTAACACACGTGTACAGCTAGCGAGCGTTTCGCAAACAGGCGCATTCGCCATGTTGATACTCACCCTCAGAATTAAATATCAAACCTATTGCTGCGTGCAATAAGTACGCCTTTGTAATCACATCTCACGCAAGGATCGCATTACGAAATGCATGAGTGGAGCTTGAGAGCTTTTCACAAACAGGCGCAGTCGCCAGATTTGTACTCACCCTAAGAATTAAATATATCTGGGGAATGCGCTGCAGTAAGTGCGCCTGTGTAATCACACCTCACGCAAGGATCGCATTCGAGACGCATTCGCCAGGTTTGTACGCACCCTTACGCTCAACTGACGCGCGTGTAACGCACGGCGACTTGCGTCCATATTTGCATAACACAAATTTGTACCTTTATAATTGGAAAAGAAAGATGAATATGCTATAGGTGAAAAACATGACGCGTCGCGACGCTTCGACTCTGCGCCTCTGATTTCGACTCTGCTGAGCCTTACAATCTAATAAAACTTCAAAGCACTAAACCCAGTTGTGTTTATCTACAGATTCATATATTAGAGTACATTTCGATAGTACGTGATGTTTAGATACGATCCTTAGCATAGAGGGAACAGATAAAAAAGGCATTGTAAATTGTACCGTATATGAAAGGTTTTTAGATTCAATTATTACACGCTAATTATTATAATTAAATTAATATAGTATCTGTACTACCGCTATCAGTCCCAGAATATACTTAGCTATATACTTACCGTCAACGTCTTCGTCATTGTTCTCGTCATCTCCCTCGTTCTTCCTCACGATCACCACTTTCTGCATTTTGTTCTCAGAGTTGACAGAGTCCTCTTCTTCGAGGATCGACTCGTCGAGGTATTCTTCGTCTGCTGATCATGACAGTGACTATTTATATTCATATCTACATAAATCGAATCTCATCGAATGAAACTTGGCATTCACTCAACTGCGCGATTTCTGAACGGAATCACTCCGGTTCCCAACCATACATAGATGCACTTTGAAACGTGAAAATGTCCAAATTTTGAATTTCGAACGACCCAAAATATTAGAGGTTAAGAAGTTACCATGACTACCTCTGCTCGAATTCAAACTTTTCCCGTACTAATACGGTTCATTTTGTTCAAATCGAGTGGCAAGGACACCGGTTTTATTTCAGAATTATTTTTATTACAAACTAAATTAAAGCCATTTGAATAACGTATGTAGTATAATCTGCTGTAAGCGTATAATATACGTGTTCTGTTAAATACAGTGGATATTTAAAAAATCAATATACATCGGTTTTAAAATTTGGATGTGACTTTGTTGTTTTTTTCTATCATGACAATTTTTAGCATACCGTATAGTAATAAGTGTATATCGTCAATTTTACTATAATTTTTTTTTGAATCAACCAAAGTTGTAGTATAGTTGTAGTTTAACTGCCTCCGTGGCCGAACGGTTACCATACCGGACTGCCACGCAGAGGTCTCAGGATCCCCGGGCCGGGAGAAATATTTGTATGGCGTGCATTTATTTCTCTCGTGAGTTTGGGTGTAATTTGAGGTTGTCTATGTGTGTGTCCATGGCACCCGCGACACAGGGTTTCCCTAGTGCGGGACTATGTTGAGTATGTGCGTTATTATTACAGATTCCTAAGTCTATGGCACAGGAAAAAATAAAAAATACTGCTGAGCTTCTGTAGTGTACACATTCCGCCTATAAACGGGGTTATTTTGTAAAATACTAACAACCACCCAGGATTATGTTATTAACATCATAAACAACAACTTTTGTTTCATGACTAGACACGACAAAACGTCGGTAATAAATTTACCACAATAAACTTAAAAATTTGTTGGTACTATCTGACACTTTTTAGATCTGCATTCAGTAACAAAATCGAGTAAATAACCAAAAAAAATAGAGACGAAATAAAGGCCATCCATCCCTGGCAACTCATTAGGACCTTATATATCACTTTTAAATATCACTCTCGTTTGCACTGAAGTCACAAATTAGAAAGCTGAAATATAGTACAGCACCAACAACTGACCTGTGTGTACGTCTCCGTATATTCCAAAAATATTCTGTATTTTATTGTAATAAAGATAGTATCTCTAAAAATGGGGGGCTGTTCCATTCGTTGGTGTGGGAAAAAGCAGTAAAACATCTAATTACAAACAAACCGAATCACATTTCATTGGTATACATATAAATATTAAATATGTCATTGTTCCATTTTCGTCCATTGTAGCAAAGCTCTAGTTAAACTAGTCCATGTGAAGTAAAACAATTTACGACACCTGTCTATTGTTTCGAATTCGGGCTGACCAATTTGAGCGCAGTTGCCACCGTAATGATTTGGCAGAATAATTTTCAAACAAATTAAATGACGTGTCGTCTCTATTTCTGGTTATATACTCGATGAGTAGTAAATTCAAACGTGCAAACGTCCTTCCCAACGTCCCCCCGCTCCTGCGCTTTGAATCGGAGTGATATTTACGCTAGACCTTGCTTTTGGTACCACACAGAGTTGTCACCGTTTATAGCGATTTATTTAAATATTTTTATTTTTGTACGAAATTTAAAATCTGATGAATCATAAAAATTAATGGAACAAACGTTGCTATTTTATTGATGTTAGTAATATAATGAGATAAGTATCCATGTGAAGCGAGTGACCTAATATTGTTATTATTATAGTTTATTTATTGAGCAGTGGCTACATAGCCATCAGCTTAAAAAGGTAACAAATAATTGAGAACCTCGAAACATAATATACTTAAATAAAAATTAGTACGTATAAAAACCGTAACTTAAAAATCCGCCATTTTTTAAAACGTCATATTGACAAAAATGTGTTTTTTTGATAATAGGTGCCAACGTCAAAGTAGAAGGTTATGCAATAGACGGGAGGCCAATCAATTATATAACTTTTATTATAAAAAAACCGGCGCCAACCGTTTGTGGAATTACATTAATTAAATACGTATAAATAAAAATATTAAATATTAGACAACACCGCATACGTTGCTCTGATCCCAAAGTAAATATCTAAAGCACTTGTGTTATAGAAATCGGAAAACGACGGTACCACAAACACCCAGACCCGAGGCAATATAGAAAAGTTACTTTTCTGGAACCCGGAAACTGAGAGATGGTGACACTATGGACACCGGTGTGCAAGCCACTCGACCACAGAGGCTGTCAATGATTAATTATTTGCCAAGTTTTAATGAAATTAATCGCTTAACGCTTAACTTAAGAAATCTTATAAAACTGATTCACCCTTAATTTGCCATCGTTATAGGTGGAATATTTTCTTCAAATGGTACAAAAAATAATCATCAAAATCGGTTCGCAAAATAGTAATCGAGTAACATACACACACCCAAAAAAATACTGTCAAATTAAGAACCTCCCCTTTTTTTAAAGTCGGTTAAAAAGGGATGATCATCAGAAGAGCTATGATTGGAAAATATAAGAAATATTAGCTTATTTCAGTGTCATTCCGGCAGTAAATGGTTAATCACTAATTTAAATTAAGAATTTGAATAGTAAACGACCGCTTATTTACTCCTTACCACGATAACAGACCAATGAAATTACTTGTTACACATTCAAATTAGGAATTTAAATAGTAATTGGTCAACTGAATTACCCGTATTATCAACAAATTATTCTACGTACCTGTTAAAAGTTTATTGCCTTTACCTTTGGTAAAATTGTATATTAATTTAAAAAATATAGAAGAATTTAAAAATTGTTTTTAGGAAAGTCGAAATACAAATTTATGTTTACGTAAATGTTTGATAATTATGATTAACGAAAATCACCTCTAATGCTTTGTAACATGGCCACGTTTTTTGACGTCTGATCTTTGAATGAAACTGCACTTTCCAGTTTCTCTACACAATCCGAACAAATATACTTCAACTCGTTCGTTACCTAAAATTTATGAAAAAAATTACATGAACGAAAAAACCAAATTAATAGATTTTAATTTAGTAACATAATGAAAATGATAGATTAATATGTGAAAAGAAGACATAACAATGAATAGCTTATAGACAATTATTGCAATTACAATGAAATACAAGAAATAAAAATCACAAACCTTCAGACCAAAACAGTTTTCAAGCATTTTTGCGTAAGTCTCCGCGTTTGCCGCGTAAGCACCAAATAGATCGCATAAATCATTAGTGCCCATGCAACTGATGCAACCTACAAACTCTTCCTCCGCTTCCATTTTTTGTTAAAAATAAGTTTTATTCAGATCCAAAGGACGAAAAAGATTGAGAAAGAGAAGCCATTTTTGAATTTCGCGACAAAACACGATCGGCTGTATTTTATAGGGATGTGACCGTTCTATAATATTCGTAATTTAAAAATCGATCGATTAATGTTGAGTTTTATTTTTATTTCCCGAAATTATGTTGGGAGGTGAACATACATACGGTCAGCCTTTTTGAAAAAAAGGTGGAAAAAAAATTAAGTAATTCAATTACATAATAATAAGGGATCGCTTATTCAAGTAGGTAGGCAAAGGCTTAATAATTTAACAAAATAATAGTAATTATTTGTGCGAATTTAAATTTATTTTTGAAAGTCATTCGTCTGCTTATACAGTTCCTTGAATAGTGGGCCATGGCCATAAGGCCTGTAACGAGCTCGAAATGTTAGTTTGTTTAAAACATAAAAACTACGCGATTTACAATCTCACAACCTTTTATTCCCATTGTTTGAAATACTTGTCTTCTTCAATGAATTTGGCTTGTCTTGTTCAACGAAACAACATATTAACTTTTAAAAATCATTTATTGTCATTTATCCCTCAGTTATTTCAAAATAAACCGTATCATTAGAACCTTCCAAGGTCGGGTCTATTATGATCGATTCATTTATGACTTCTGCAGACTCGTTCTCATGACTTTTTTGATGATTCATCAGCAACGTTTTGTACGAAAACCTCAGACCGCAAATGTAGCACACGTACCTGTAAGAAAAAAAGATTTAAAATACATTTGATGACGTGACATAATTATAGGACCAATTTGGGAGATAAGTATTCTTAAATTGCTTCTGTTCCTATTGTTCCGGGTTGAAATTTGTATAGTCCGGACAAAAAGACTGACGTTTGCAAAGTTTGGACTTTTGCAGTAACAAAATAAAACCGAAAATCTCTCTCTATAGTCGTAAATAGGGTTTTACTATAGAATTGCGAGGTTGATATTTTACTTTTCATTCTAAAAATTGTAACTCTAAGCCGAAAAATCCACACTGAACGTCAAAAAGTCGGACATGTCCGCATAAATCCGGACGGATTACCATCAGTTACATCTATAGGGTTTACTACCACTACAAATAGTGAATTCAGTTACTCTGTTACTCATAGTACAGGGAATTTCTTAGTGCTGTGATAGTCTGAGAAATCGTTGTTAACCGACTTCAAAAAAGAAGGAGGTGTCAGACGCTGTGTGGGGTGGAGGCGCGCGGGTATTGGCGTCTTCCCTTCTACAGTTCCGAAACGGCTACGAGCGGGTAGATTCATACGTCGAAATCGGAAACAGACGCTAGACGCTAGACCAAGCACTGTGAAACAGGCTTCGAAACAGGCGCGCGCGGCCACTGTGAACGCAAGGCGCGTCTACGAATATTTGATTTACACGCACCCGCACTGTTGTTTATGATCTGAGTAATACAGCTCTGGGAAGTTGTTAGTATTTTAGAAATAACCTTATATATTTTATTATAAATATATTTCTGTGGCATCATAAGTATAAAAACATGAAGTCATTTACTATTCCATTATTATTTTTATTTTCTTTTTATATTAGCCTTGGAACCTTGTGTCATACAATATAACTTGTTACGTATATAACCCATGTATACTTATGTAGTAATTATTATTATTATTTTTGTATCAAAGTTTCATTGGTTTGTATTGTACTTAACTACTTTTTAATTATTTATTCTTCAGTAGTTTATTAGAAATGCATCACCACTTCTCAGTTTTTTGTAGTAATCAGTGGTTAACGGTGCTGGTGACACAATCATTACATATTTACTGTAAAAAAAATGTAATAAATATAATTTATAACGCGGGAAATCTTCCATCTTACCGCCCCACGTATAGTGTCTCGCCGCCAATAATCGAGTTAAGAAAAAACATGGCGCGAGCACGCGTTTTACCAGCACGTTATAAAGAATAACTTGCAGATTCGATATTAAATTGTTTGTACAAGTGCCAAAAATTCAATAAATAGTGAAGTTGCAAATTGACATTGAACTTTTTTCTTCTACAAAGCCACGGAAACAACAAAACAAAAAAAAAGTGTTTGTTGACCCCAATAAAAAAGTAACAAAGAGAAATAAGCATAAGTTAAATGTACATAGAGGTGTTTCTTGTATCTCTTTCTTGCAGCTCTCATGTTGCAAAAGCCTTATGGCGCATTTACACTGGGTCGTCTGCCGCCATCGGCAGGCGAAGTAGACGACCCGGTGTAAATGCCCCATTAGTGTATTAGCAAATGTGTAACTAAGGGAGTCAACATACTTGCTGACGCAGAATCGGCTTAAGCTGAACAACATCAAGCTTTATATGTATATGTAAAATACGAGTGAAATAGATGTGCGTATTATTACATAGGTAACTTTTTTTATGATATTATTTTTGTATATTTATATGACCAAGTGTTTCAAGTTATGGCAAGTCCTATGTGTTTGTAATTTTTTTCTGGTCGGCCGCGTCTATAAGTGTTGGGACTCTCTCATGCGTCGTGTTCTTTCTTTACTCACCTATTTCGATCACGTTTAACGTGCGTTTTCATGTGATACCTCAAAGTTGTACTTCTATAAAACGCCTTGTCACATAACTGACACTGGTTCTTTTTCTCGCCTGAAAACATGAAAATCTGAGTAATTAATTATGTTTTTTTTTGTAATTTTCTCAATATAGCCCTGGGGATCGTACATGTCTCCTTAACATAAGGATGCTAACGTATAAGTTCAACGTAACGTACAATTTCAACAAGATTTTTTTAACAATATTCAATAAAAAGTTGATTGAAAAATTTAGTAGATAAGATAATTTTTTTTAATAAGCTGTCGAAAAAAGCAATTAATTAACATTTAAGGTGCGTACAAAATTGTATTTTAGAATAGGTGCAAGAGCACAACGCAATTAATTCAGTTCGGCTATTGATAGGTAACGTTCTTGTACGCATGTTTCATTTTCAACATGATTGAATATTCACCTACCTGAAGTATTGATTATTTTATAGTATACACATAAAACATTAAAGCTATAAAATACCTAATGAAATAATCAATTAAACAGCAATGATATAAAGCAAAAAATAAAACACAATGTGACAAAAATAGATATTTAAATGAGAGATAATGAAAGTTGCAAAGGATCGTTTTGACAAGAGACCTTTTGCCAATGTCAATATCACATTGATATTGAGAATAGTGCGACCATTTGTGGCAGATTTTGCCATTTGGGCAGATTTTATTTTTATTCATTTACATTGCTGCAGAACATGATAAGTTATATTAAATGTGGCAGAGTTTGCCAGATTTGGGAATATTCCTTATTATTTTTGGGAACAAACTGAAAACTTAACAAAATACTGGACAATGTTATAAACGTAACCTATATCAACTTCATAACCCCAGCTTCTACAGGCTGTACTCAATTATCATTTTTGATGCTTTGATAATGAATCACAACTTCACAAGTATTGATAGGTCTCCTTAAAGCATGTCGTCAAAAACACTCGGTGACAAAATACACGGGATGTCGCCATCCTTCTTTTGAAAGTCACGTAGATAGGTTTTAGTTCGAATAATGAGTAAATCTCTTTTCACTGCGTAATCACATCGGACTCTGTTCTTCGGATGAGTCAGATGAACTTATTACCAATGGTTGGAATAAGGTCCTCATTCGGACCATAAGTTATGTTTTCTGTAATAAGTTAGGTAGTTAAACAATGCACCCAGGTTAATTAAATTGTACATAATAAGGATTACATTTATATTTGCGAGAGTCTATAATTGGCTCTCTGTTGTTATTATTATTGTTTTTATTTAATTTATTTATTTATTTATTTATTTATTTATTTATTAGATGTAGAAAACAATTTACATTCACTCCTTAACAAAAGCTTAAACATTACTACTAGTTCTACTTTAGAATGTAAGCCTGAACATGTAAATACAGCATGACTAATCATAAGTAAACAATTTTGTTTAAAATATAATTTGTTTGTAAATTAATATAAAATACTTTGGCATAATAAAACTGTAACCTTAAATAAAATATAATTACTATGACTATAACTATGAAAGAGAGAAACCGTGGTGCTTGTGAATTCGATTGCGAAGTCTTTTAACATTACTATCAAATATATCCATCTCTAAATCATCGCCATGATCAGCCATAAGGTCATTGTAGGCCCGACGCATTCTCGTCAAAGGGTTGTAAAAAGAAGTATTATTAGTATAAACATTCAACACGAATGGTCTAGGAAGGCGTCGTGAATTCGTCGTGGATTTAGTGTTAAGCTCTCCTTTTAGATAAATAAATAAATAAATAAAATAAAAATAAATATATTCACTTGTATTAAAACCGTATTCGTCATCTATTTCTTTCTTTACTACAATTTGTCTTCGTGGAGGCAATTACAGGAATTACCTATTCCGTGTTTGGTAGCCAGGTGGCTGAGGAGTGCTCGTCGTTTACCAAACGCCATATTGCAATGAGTGCACTTATAGTTGCGCTCGCGCAGATGTGTCAACCGAATATGTTGGGAGCGAGAACCTGTAAAAAAATAAAGATATGCGTTGCATAATTATTATTTTTATTATTTTACCTAGTGACGGGATGAAGAAGTCGTGCGCCTGGTGGTAAGCGACACGCCTGTCCATAACAGTTGCAGAGCCACTCCAGAGCTTCAAATCGCAAAGATCTGAGGGGCACTCCCACTGCGCCCATCACCCTGAGACATAAGCTGACAAGTCCCATGTGTCTGTAATTTCACCAGCACCCTTACCCTTCAAAACCAGAACGCAGTAATGTTCACAATATTGCCTGGCGGAAGAAATAGGTAAGATGACATTACTTTTCTGGAGGAACTCTTTCACAAGAAGCTCTTCTGTTGCTTTAGATAAATACTGTTCCATGCAATAGCACAAACCTATACGACATTTATATATTTTTTTGTAAAAATACTCCACAAAACTTCCTTTTTTAGGATTAGAATAAATGTAAACAAAGAAGAAACAGTGATCGTAAACTGTTTTCTTCAGCCAACAAATTACAGTAAAATAAAATATCGTCTGAATTAATGACAAAAATGTGCTAACAAAAGCTGAAAAATTGTTTAGTTTAAAGAGCTTATTACTACTTGCAATAATTGCCAGATTTAATAAGTTCGATTTGGGTATAATCAATAAAAAAAAAAATGGCAACACTAAAAAAGATGGAATGATGTGCAGCTTGAGGAATCTCTCTATGTATGGATTTAATGGCAATAAAGATAAAAATATTAAATTTATTCCCACTAGTTCAATGTATGGAACTTTTGGGTTTCAATTAATCAACGTGGAACTGAATACATGGAACTACTGAGAATAAACATGCAATTTTTATCTTCTTTGTTCTCTCACAAAGTTTTAGAATATATTACAGTAGTGACTTATCTAAATATTGCTACATCATTAAGGCAGTGTGAGAGACTGGCGTCCGTACTAGGAGACCTGTAGGGTGTAGTAGGGTGGGGGTGTGGGTGTCGGTGTCGGTGTCGGTGCCTGTACCTGTGCCTGTGTGTGTGTGTGTATGTGTGTGCGTGTGTGTGTGTGTGTGTGTGTGTGTGTGTGTGTGTGTGTGTGTGTG